TTTTCTAAAGCTGATTGGAAAGGCTTCGCGGAATTTACTGAAAACACTTTCGCTGCTCTCCCAACACCAACCGACCTCCACCCCGTCGGACTGTCACTGCTGCTGCAGCTCGCTTCGACCGANGTAGCGTACCTAACGGAGGTCCTCAATTTGTCTATGGCCACTCTCATCATCCCAGACATCTGGAAGGTGGGGAGAGTGGTCCCACTGCTCAAATCGGGCAAGCCTGCCAACAAAGTAGATTCGTATCGGCCAANATAGCTGCGGTCCAAGAGACGAAGTTGCACAGCAATTCAACATTGCTGAGTTGTGCCGGGTACAACGTGCCCCGTCGAGATCCGTAGCGAGATAATGGTGGTGGCTTAGCGTTCACCACGCACCACACCGTGCAGTATCGTTGAGCTCGAAATATTTAACGTGTACATACCCCCTGTCACCTGCTGCCCGGCAGGATATCACCTGACATAGGTGCGCTCCTCATAGGTGAAACCCGTATGGTAGTAGGTGACTTTAATGCGCACCACGATCTTTGGCACTCAAGCCTGTCAAACGATCATAGGGGAACTGACTTGACTGAGCAGATAGACGATTCGACATTCTGCACAATGAACGACGACGCACCCACCAGGATTTTTGGCAGCTGCTCCAGCCCGCCAGACAACAATAGTCAGCACTGGTCTGATAAACAGCATATCATGGCGACCTATTCTGACTTTGGCATCAGACCATCTGTCCATAGCTATCTCGATCGATAAACCAACCCACTTTGCTTCCGCGGAGCACCGGACCTATATCAACTTTTCTAAAGCTGATTGGAAAGGCTTCGCGGAATTTACTGAAAACACTTTCGCTGCTCTCCCAACACCAACCGACCTCCACCCCGTCGGACTGTCACTGCTGCTGCAGCTCGCTTCGACCGACAGGATGTATTACGGACCCACGTCCAAATTTCCCTGCCGAAGCGGCTGTTCTAGCCGATGAGCGTGACAGCCTTCGTCAGGCCGATCCCGGAGATCCACGTACTTAAACGTACTTAAACGGAAGAAATGGGAAGAGCATCTGAAGACCTGTAACTTCACCTCTGGTGTGAGTAAGCTTTGGTCAACCGTGAGGTCACTGTCCAATCCGACGAAGCACGACGACAGAGTCGAAATTTCCTTAGGCGACCATGCTTCGTCGGACCCGGAGCGATGCGCGAGCTATTTTAGCCGGCAGTTCATACTGCATCCTCCGGTGCACGAAGCCAGGCGTCGAGTGACCAGAAGGCTGCACAAACTGCCCATAACTTGTGCCCCCCTTGCTTTCACTAGCGGTGAAGTTCAGGTGGCCATCGGGAAGGCGAAAGCCTCCAAAGCCATGGGTCCTGACGGAACATGCATGCTGATGCTGAAAAATTTGGGTCCTTCGGGACTAGCGTACCTAACGGAGGTCCTCAATTTGTTTATGGCCACTCTCATCATCCCAGACATCTGGAAGGTGGGGAGAGTGGTCCCACTGCTCAAATCGGGCAAGCCTGCCAACAAAGTAGATTCGTATCGGCCAATAACACTCCTTTCCCCGGTAGCGAAGACACTTGAGGCCTTGCTGCTCCCGTATTTCACGAACCACCTGACCCCAGCGAAGCATGAACATGGTTTCCGTAAAGTGCACAGTACAATAGCACTTAACGCCATAAACACTCAGATAACTCGTGGCCTTAACCGTAACCGTCCCTGCGAGAGAACGATTCTAGTAGCGTTAGACCTGTCAAAGGCGTTTGACACTGTCAGCTATTCCACGCTACTAGAAGATATAGAGGCTCAAACGGTGGTCGGCAAATTATCTGAGTGGTCGACACTCGTCGGTAATGTTTAGAGACAAATCGAGTAAACTCAGGAAAATAAAACGGGGTTCCACAGGGTGGTGTCCTTTCCCCGCTACTGTTCAACTTTTATATTTCAAAGCTCCCTCAACCACCAGAGGGAGTCTCGACTGTCTCCGATTGCTCGATCATGGCGACTGGGAATGGAATTGATGACTTGTGTTCGAAAGTAAACGGGTATCTCTCCGAGCCCTCTCCCCTACGAAATCCTCTGCGACCTTGTTCACCACCTGGACGAAGGAGGTCGGGCTACCGCTGGGAATTCACGTCTATGATACACCAATTCCGACGGTGAATAACCCCAAAATACTCGGAGTAACATTCGACAGCCTGCTGTCCTTCTCTGCGCACGCAACCGCTATTGTTAATAAAGTACAGAGCCGCAACAAGGTCCTCAAGTCGCTAGCCGGCAGTACTTGGGGCAAAGACAAAGAAACGTTGCTGGCAACATACAATGCAATAGGCCGGCCGGTTTTAAACTACGCAGCACCAGTGTGGTCGCCTGGGACTAGTAGGACGCAGTGGATGAAGCTACAGACAGCACAGAACACCGCACTCAGGACAGCGACCGGACGCCTCCTGATGTCGCCAGAACACCACCTTCATGACGAGGCAAAAATGCTCCCAGTCAAGGAGCATAACATAATGCTCTGCAAGCAGTTTCTGGCTGGGAGCCACAGATGTGGCCACCCAAACAGACAGCTGCTTGCAGAGGAGCCCTCGCCTAGGCACGTCAGGAGCCATCTATACGAACTGACGGTCGAAGTCCAGAGGTTCATTAAGCAGCCTCTGGACCCGTCAGCATACCGACTGGCCCTGAACGGCATTCACAGCGTTAAGCTGAAGTTTTATATTTTTTCAATTTCTTTGAAAATAATAAAATTTTATTGAACACCCGTTTTAGAGACTTGAGTAGTCAACTAAACTATCTTTAGTTTATGTTTTTTTCCCGCAGTTCGCACATCTCTACTAATTTTGTTTTAAATAAACACCATGTATTTTTCGATTTGACGCAAATAGGACATATTCGTAAATTGATGACTTCCAGAACTTTATTCACATCTTTTGCTTCAAACCGATTTAAATTTACCTGTGAATAATTAATTTTCATTAAAACTATATTCACATTACAGCATAAATTACTTTGTTTCGATTAAATTACTTCACATAAATTAAGTAAGTTCCCATTTTCTTTCATAATTTCTCTAGATATGTGATTAACACACGTACGAGTGTGTGGCTTGTACTTGATCTCAAAAAACAAATGGTTGCATACCTTTAGGCAACCTCAACAGTGGGGGCTAAAATAAATGAAAATTTTGTTTTCTTCATTTGGTTTTTGATTTATGATAAACTAGCGTACCCGGCGAACTTTGTCTCGCCCAAAATTAATTTATTTTATTAAAACATTTTGGTCCAACATTTTCTTCAACTATTCACTTAAAGACTTCCAGTGGCAAATTTGTCTGCTCTGATTATAGTTTTTTGGTCGTCAGAAGGCATATCTTCAATTGCCATTTTATATAACTTAACCAAAGCGTTGTGTCCTTGACGAAGTTCTTACAATTTTCCAATGATCTGGCGTTAGCACAGTTAATCGCACAACGCTGAACAATTTCGGCATCAGAGTTGCCAACGAAATCAATTTGAATAACTTTTTAATCTTCATTCACTGTCTGGAACAATGAACTGGTTCGATGTTGAATCTGTACAGCATAGTTGGCGGCAAGTTCAAAATGGGTGAGTATCGTTGGTCCACATAAAACCAGTATACATAGACTTATTTCAGATGAAATCATTTAAATGCTTAGTTTTTGGGCATTCATCAAGAATTGTCCTTATTCTGGTAATTCGCCATAAGGTTATCAGCTCAGGGGTTTTGGTGGTTGATTTACCTGTAGTAATTTCACTTTAGCCCCTGCAGGGCTCAATCCAGTTGTCTCCGAATAAAAGATTTACGCATTGTAAAATTAACAAACCACATCAGATGCACCAATCGTAACTTACAGAAGTTTGATATACTCAATGGTGCGGAATGTCCAAGTAATTGGTATTTCTTCTCCTGCCTAGTGCCGGGCAATCGCAGAGTAAGTGCCTTATTGATTCAGGCTCTTCTTCGTCGTGGCACCTCCTGCAGTAGTCGTTCTGACTAACCCCGACGCGTTATGCGTGCCTTCCTATCAGGATATGTCCAGTGAGCAGACCAATGGCCAGTGACATATCGCCTTTATTGAGAGTGAGAATTTCTCTCGATCTCCGTACATCCCATTTTGGCCATGTAAGCTTCGTTGTATTACAGTTTTCAGTGCGCTCCCATCTGGAGGCCGCTTCTTCAAGGAAGTTCTCCCTTAGTAAGAGCTTGCAGGAAGCGAGTGGCATACCCATCCTCTTCCAGGCTGGTGAAAGTGGAGAGGAAGTACCCGCCCTTGCAAGCTCGTCTGCCTTCTCATTTCCTGGTATGTCACTGTGCCCCGGTACCCATACCAGGTGCAAAGCGAACTGCTCTGCCATCACATTAAGTGATTTGCGGCAGTTGGCAACTATTTCCGAATTTATAGTGACATAGTCAAGTGCCATAAGGGCCGCCTGACTGTCTGAGTATATATATATTTCCGTAGTGGCGATAACAGCTAGTTTTAGGGTGTCAACGCCTTCTTGTATGGCTGCCAATTCGGCTTGAAAGACACTACAGTGGTCAGGTAGTCGGAATGATATTTTTATTCCAAATTTCTCCGAGTAGACGCTTCCTACGCTATTTTCTAGTTTGGAGCCGTCCGTGTAGAATCTTATGGCATCTCCAGACCCCGGAACTCTTTCGAGCCTTTAGTGAAAGTGAGCCTTGGTATACAGTAGTCCGTTGTACTCGGTAGTTGCCGGTTAATAAGAATTGTAGTGTGACCACAACGAGCCGCTTTCCAGCTTTTAAGCCCCTGTAGTCTTAGGGCTGCAATCGCAGCGTATTGCTGTCCCATAATATCTATGGATATGATGTTAAGAACCGTTCTCTCCACTTTTTGTAATTTAATACTGTTTACTTATCCAGCACTGGCCACCATACCACTACCCCGTACAGAAATATGGGCCTCACCACGACGATGTATATCCACTGCACTAGCTTCGGGGTTAAACCCCATTTTGGGCTGATTGCACTCCTGCAGCTATATAGGGCAACCATTGTGGGGTGCCCTTCTCTACGATCCTAGTCAACGATACCCCCGCCAGCTCCGCCCGAACCACCCTGCATCTCAGCATTTGGTTTATGAGCGCCATTAAGCGCGAGTCGATGCCCAAGCTCGTCAGTGCTGCCGTTATTGCGCCCGGCATGATGTTGTTAAAGGCGCCCTCTATATCCAGGAAGGAGCTAGCGTATATTTTTTGATGTCTAGTGATCTTTCTATATGGGACACTATTTCATGTAGCGCCGGTTCTGCAGATCTACCTTTCATGTAAGCATGTTGTGTGGTGGAGAGCCCGTCACCAACCGACTCTCTGATACGGACCTCCACCAGTCTCTCCGTAACCTTGCAATTGAAATGACGAAATGGTGATGGGCCTGAAATCCTTTCGGTTGTTGTGGGACACCTTCCCTGCCTTGGTGATGAACACCACTCTTGATTCCACTTTCTAGAAATATGATTAAGAGGTAATACTCCCTTATTTATAGCGTGTATACGCTGAGCTTAGCTGAAGTGTTTGCTGCAGCGGAAAAGGAGTGCTCCTCAAGCACCCTCCACTTCCCGACCAGACAATCCGCATTCTCAGAGATAAAGGTAACGTCCAGAACTTCCCTTCGGGATTTTGTAATAAAAGTGGGGTCGTTACCCCTATTTGCAATAACAAGCTTAGAGCTAGGTATGAAATTAAGAAGTGACTCACCCCGTTCGTTATCATCGGAGATGCCCCAGGTGTGATGGTGAGCATCACCTCCCAAAATTAGCGCCTCCCTCGTGCTGGCCACTAGGTCTTTAATGCAAATAGTTGCCACCTCCTTGTCGTCGCTCGTTTAAACTTAAGATGGCCGCTGTCGTGTCCTCGTCGCTAAATTGTGGAAGAGACACTTTAGTGTGGTACATATCAATATGCACGGTTTTGGTTTTCCCGCTGAGGCTCCACTTACCAGTCTGTAGCCAGGCGCTTTCAGCCCACAAATATTTTGTCCCACCACCCAAGGTTCTCCTCCTCCGGCTCCGCCTTTCGGGTTTTCGCTGCATTTTCATCGTTGCTGTAGATTTTTATTTTGGCCATGTCGCAGCCGTACCGTATAACTCCTTTCTTTTGCTCCAGCAACTCTATGGAGTCCTTATTAAGAAGCAGGACAACCTGCATCGTCGATTTACCGCTTTCGATAATTTTCACCACCTTCCAATTCGCGGTAGGTAGCTCCGGATTGTAGAGCCTTATAGTTTGCAGGATCCTTTCCGGTTCCGCTGGCTTACAAAGAAACCAGGCTCTGGCTCTCGGTCGCACCGGTAG